CACACACACACACACACACACACACACACACACACACACACACAATGTCCCTGTTAGGGTGAAGGGAAAAGGGGGTTTAGGGATCCCTGGCTGACGAGGGATATTAAGGCCCTGGTCAGGAAAAAGAAGGTATACATTGAGTTTAAGCTTTCGGGCTCAAGTGAATCCCTAGATGACGACAAGAAGTGCAGGAGCACACTTAAGGGGAAAATCAGAAGAGCAAAAAGAGGGTATGAGACAGATCTGGCAGATAATCTTTGCTAAAACTTTGGATAAGGTTAAAGATAATCCCAAAAGGTTCAATAGTTATATTAAGAGTAAAAGGGTGTGTAGGGAGAGAATAGGTCCCCTTAAAGATCAGTATGGTCATCTATGTGTGGAGCCACAGGAGATGGAGATTTTTAATGAATATTTCTCCCCATGTTTACTGAGGAGCTGGACCAACACACGAGGGAGAAGGAACAGAAAGATCCGCAGAGAGATGGCTGACTGGCTGGAGATTTCTCTGGAACTGCCACAGCAGCGACGAGCAGTCGGGCTGTAAGGCAACTTTCTTTGCTGTACACTGGATTACAAAGCTAGTTCTGATCTTCAGCTGTGATCTGTTTTGCTCAAGGTAATGCAGTGTAAGGTTCTGAGAGGCTAGATGTGTTATCTCCTTCTGGACCGTACATGGAAGTACAGCGAAGGAGAAGGCCATTCAGCCCTTCAAGTCTGCAGTCATTCAATGTGGTCATGGCTGATCTGTAATCTCAGTGACATCTTCCCACTTTCTCCCAATGCCCTTTAAAATCTTTTTAAAAATGTATCTATTTCTTTCTTGACTGTGTTCAGTGACCCGGTCTCCACAGCCTCCTGCAGCTGGGAATTCCACAGGCTCACCACCCTCTGAGTGAAGAAATATTTCCTCATCTCAGCACGAAATGGTCTCCTCCCCGTATCCTCCTGAGACTGTGTTTCCCCCCTGGTTCTAGACACCCCACACCCAGGCGAACCACCCTCCCTGCATCGAGTCCGTCCAGCCCGTTTAGTGTTTGATACGTTTCAGTCAGATCCGCGCCGCTCCTTCCACACTGTAGTGAATACAGGCCCAGTCGAACCAACAAATACAGGTCCAGTCGAACCGATCTCTCCTCACAGGACAGTCCTGTCAGCCCCAGTATCAGCCCAGTGAACCTTCACCGCACTCCCTCTATGGCAAGGATATCCTGCCTCAGGAAAGGGAGACCAAAACTGTACATACTACCGCAGGTGTAGTCTAACCAAGGCCCTGTAAGACTGCAGTAAGACATCCCGACTTCTGAACGCCAACCTCTTGCAACGAGGGCCAATGCACCGTTTACCTTCCTAAAGCGCTTGCAGAACCTATCTGCCTATTCTCACTGACTGGTGTGCAAGGGCACCCAGATCCATTTGTACATCCACACTTCCCGATATGTCACCATTTAAGTGACGCTCCCCCTTTCTGTCTGTCACACCCAAGTTCACATTGAGCAGTGTTTACCATTGTATGATCCCCATCCAACAGTCAACAGAGGAGCCGCCCTCTTTCAGAGAGTCAAACAAAAGCCACTGTAACTGGTTTTATTACTGATGGAGGTTTTTTTTTTCCTTTACAGTTCAGGTAAATATCCAACGTCAGGACACACTGCTGCATTGCTCCATCTCATACAAAGCAGACGGGATTGAGTAGGCTTACAAAAAAGGTCGAGAGAAACGAATCTTAAATGAATGTTAAAAGCCTGGGCACTCCGATTTGAAAAGGTACCGGTATCTGTGCACCATTCGGGTCAGCAATGAGTTCAACAACAGCCCCCTTCCCCCAACCCCCCCCCTGTTCTCCACACCCCCCCCCTCCCCTCCCTGGTTACCTTCTGGCTGAGATATGGCTTTGCCCTTTGGAGGACTCGAGGTACAAGAACCTAAAGACATTTTAAGCACCACTGCAGCAGCTCTCCTTGGCTACTGGTCTCTCCATCTCTCTCTCTCTCTCTCTGTCTCTCTCAATCCTGGCGTGAACCACAATGCACACCAGCTTTGCCCATGTCTGCCACCCACAGCCTGACACAGAGAGAGAGAGACAGAGCGAGAGAGAGAGAGAGAGAGAGAGAGAGGAGGACACAGCTTCAGACTGAAGCCAAAGTGTGAATTTGGTGTGTGTTTTTCTTTTGGTGAAGTGGCTCCAAGCAGCTGGGTGCAATGGAGCTAACGCCAGACAGCACAGGAAGATGGTTTTGTGTTCCTGCAGCACACTATCCTTACAGTGGAGACAGTAGCACCAATATTGCATTGACAACCATGCATAGGTATCAGTCCACGCTATTGACAGTACTTCACCGGGCATCCCTTGGTCTTCGGTCACTATTACTGAAGTGGTCATCTCTCCTGTGGTATTACCAACTCGACAGATGGTTATTCATTAATCCAGGGAAGTGGTCAAAGATCTCTTCGGACTCCGAGCTGAAAGAACCACCTGGCAAAGGAATGCAAAGGGAAGGAGGAGGATTATTCACAGACCCAACCGTGTCACTGAGGGGAAGCTGGGGGGAACTGGAGGCTGCACTCTGCCTCTCCCCCTCCCCGCCTCCCATCGAGGGAGGGAGAGGGAGAGGCAGGAAGAGGAGGGATTGAGGGGCAAGGGGCCAGTGAGGGACAGCAGCTGAGCACATCAAATCAGGTGAAATGTCCAACAGCAATGAAAGGTGACGGGTTCCCTTAACAGTGAATCAGCTACTGTGGGAAAAGGGAGAAGGGGAGGATGCCTGAGGTGAATGGTTCATGGAGAAAGGGTGGAATTGACTCTGTGTAAATGTGTGTGTGTATGTGTAAGCGTCTGTGTGTTGTGTGGGTGTAAGTGTCTGTGTGTTGTGTGGGTGTAAGTGTCTGTGTGTGTGTGTGCATGTGAGTGTGTGTGTGTCTGTGTATGTGAGTGTCTCTGTGTGTGCATGTAAGTGTAAGTGTCTGTGTGTGTGCGTGATTGTCTGTGTGTGTGTAAGTGTAAATGTGTGTGTGTGTGTGTGTAAGTGTCTGTGTGTGCGTGTGTGTGTGCGTGTGAGTGTCTGTGTGTAAGTGTCTGTGTGTGTATGGGAATGAGTGTAGTGGCAGGAAGTGGTTTCTCTGTGACCCAGTGAAGAAGACACAGTGTTTTCTGACTCACCAACGTGACAGTTGTAAGCCCAGATGCGATGCCCATCGTATTTGCAGCGACACTTGACGACATTATTGGAATAGTCCGATTCCACCACCTCAAAGTTTGGATTGATGACAACCTGCAGAGACAGAGAAAGTAACTTCAGGTACACACACAGATGGACAGACCGGCAGATACACAGACACACACACACTCACACAGACGCACACACACACACAGACACACACACATGCACACACACAGGTTTGATCAGGAATCCTGTGCTGAAGTATTAGTGCACCCTACTTCTGGTGAGGCTACTTGACACACACACACTTACTCACACATAGACACACACACTCTCTCTCTCTCTCTCTCACACACACACTTACATACACATAGATACACACACACACACACTCTCTCTCACACACAGACACATTCACACATATATATTTCAGAGGAGGGATTTGACAGAAAAGATCATCTACTCTTCTCCTTCAGGAATTGGCCAACTAACCCACAGTATCTTCTTCCCAAAGTCCCCAGCTAACAACTGCAAGTCCTTGCATTGATATAACACCTCACTGCAAGCATTAGCAGCAGGTTTGATCAGGAATCCTGTACTGAAGTATTAGTGCACCCTACTTCTGGTGAGGCTACTTGACAGAGCCAGGTTGGTTAGAACGTTGCAGGAACCCAGTTGGCCCTCAGTAACAACGCTGGGTCTTCAATCCCTTCTCCAAACTAGTCCCACTCTTTTCTCACAGGCCCTGTGGAACGTCCCTTCCACACCAGCACTAACCCAATCCCTTTGTAGAAATTCACACTGGACCTGCTCCCACAGGCCTTCCAGGTCCCAGACAACATCAACTCTGCTTGGAAACAACTAAATGTCTGTTCATTAACCCCACTCTCCCAGTTTTTCCAACTGTCATCTACTTTTGACCTCGGATTCCTGACTGTCCGATTACCTACTCCATCTCTATGCAACTTGTCGCTTCCTCTGACCACCTCTGTTCCAAGGCACACTCCTTTCCCACTGCCTGATATTAAAGTTATCAGTACTTTATAAGGAGGGCTTACTTCTCCTGTTCACAATGAATCCTTCAGTGTCCCACCACTGGGTTCCCAATTGGAGTTACTCTTCAGTTTATATACAGTTTGAGGACCACAGAGTCATAGAGCACAGAAACAAACCCTTCGCTCCAATTTGTCCAAACTAATCTAGTCCCATTTAGCGCACATCCCTCTGAACGTTTCTGGTCCATATACTTGCCCAAATGTCTTTTAAGTGGATTGTTACAGTTGGTGGAATCGTGGAGCCTGCTTTCCAATTGGATTGTGACAGAGACGAGCTGCTTGGGAAAGACGAAGGCACTTACCTGGAGCACATACTCCCCTGGAGAGACATCCGTCACATCGATCCACTGACAATCGATATCATGGCGATACGTATCCCAGCAACCCGCTGTGATCCCTTGCTCACCAAAGTTGTCACACTGGTAGTTCTTCTGGTCCTCTGAAATGCACACATTCCCCGTATTAAACCCCCTGAGGGGTGAGGCAGGAAGAAGACAAAAACAGCCTGCATTTACAGAGCAACTGAGGCAACCTCAGGACCTCCTAAGGGACTTCCCAGTGAATGAAGTCAAGTAAGTAGCAGTGTGTGATATTTCACCTCAGACCTGAAAGGTTACAGGTTGAAGCCACGCTCAAGCACGGGACACTGAAGTCTAGACAAACTCCCCAGCCTAAGGGAGTGCTACATTGTCAGAGGTGTCACTTTTTTTTGGATAACATATCAGCTGGAGGACACGTTGCTCTGGGGATCAATTTGCAGCGTTATTCCCAAAGCTCGCCAATACTGATTTGTCAGGCACTATGACTGAGGCAGGGTGTGTCACGTTGCCACACGCGGGATCTTGCTGTGCACACACACTGGCTGACATGTTTCCCTTGTGATGTCAGCTTCGAAATACTTCATTTGTCGTGCTCCCACTGCCGGGAGAGCCACTGGAAAATCCCGGGAGGGGGTGGAGTACCGTACAGAGAGGAGAGCTTACCTGAGTCACACTCGGTGTCCTCGAGACAGAAACTGGCCTTGTGTCCCTCAGCAACCCTTGTTCCACTCAGCAGCAGCAGGTCATAGGTGGTGAACACCTCCATGCTGTGGTAGTGCCTACAAGGTGGGCAGAGGGTCAACAAAGGTCACTTGGGCATCTCAGTCTCCACTGCACATCATCTCGCCAATTTCCCAGGTTAAAGGTGATCCCATTGAAGTCACCGCGGTATTATGAGGCAAAGACAGAGCCGATAAAGGTAAACTGTTTCCACAGGTTGGGGATTCTAGAACTAGAGGACATAGTCTGAGAATTAGGGCCAGGAGAGATGTCAGGAAGCATTTCTACACAGAAAGGGTGGAAGAAGTTGAGAACTCTCTTCCACACATGGCTGTGGATGCTGGATCAGTTGTGAATTTTAAACCTTAGATACGTTTTTGTTAGCCAAAGCTAATGAAGAGAAATGGGCCAAAGGCAGCTTAATGGAGTTAGGCCACAGAGCAGCCAGGATCTTGTTGAATGGTGGAACAGACTCGAGGGGCTGAATGGCCTACTCCTGTTCCTACGTTCCCTTAAACCTGCAAACTCCCCCTCCAGTGTCCCCTTGAGTGACTGGAGCGGGAATCGGGGACACGACAACAGACAATAAAAAAACAGTTTTGCTTGAAGTTACTGGAAAACTGATCTGCTCGTGGACGGTGATACTTAAGCCCTGTCTGTTCATACAATTAGCTGGAAACATGAGCTCTGCTTTGAACTATGCCCCTCTCTCTCTCTCTCTCTCTCTCGAGTACAGCCTGCATTGCCTTTGCTAGGCACTGCTTAAGCCTAGCCTTTTTACAAACAGGGTTGGCCAGGTCTGGGACAGTGGATCCCAAGCACTGACCTGCCTGATCATGCTTTGAGAAGCAAGCTGTAAGGGGTGGCTAGCCCCCCAGCACAGACTGTGTAATCTTTGCACGTTTCGGGCTGTTGCAGGCCCAAGCTGATTTGCTCCCTCTGGGTAGAGAGAGCCAGCCGGTGTCAGACACAGAAGGAGCTGCTTCGAGGTGGCCCAGACCCCACCTCCTGATTGATGCTTCATCAGAGCTCTTATCGCCAGCGCTAATTCTGGACTCAAGGCAGCAAGCAGAGCCAACAGGGTTTCACATGAACCAACTGGAAACTTCCCACTGAGCAACCACAGGGAGACAGTTTTCACAAGATCCCAATGGAACAGAAAGTGTCGAGGGGAGGGATTCGGTGCAGCTCCTTTCAGCCACTGGTGTGTCCTCTCCTCACAGTGTGGGTTCTTGAACATCTCCATCTCAGAGTGACTACACTCCGACCTTCTGGAACCATTTGCAGTACCATTTGCCCCTTCAAATCACTTGCACCATCCAGTAAGAACATGTGTGATCTGTTTGTGTTTTTTTTTGGGAATTCCACATTCCCAGCTCCCCCACCAACACCCTTTGTCTCCACCACCTCACAAGAATCGACGCAACACTCCCTTCGAAATATTCAATGATGCTGCTTCCAATATCTTCTGAGGCAGGGACTTCCAAACCCAGCGGAGGCAAAATCTCCCTCATTTCTGTCTTGAAATGGCAAGCCCTGATTTTGAAAAGTGTCGCCTAGTTCTGGATTCACCCATATGAGAAAACATCCTTTCCACATCCACCTTGTCAAGGCTGTCTGACACTTCCGTGCCTCAATCAAGTCACCCCTTGTACTTTCGAAACTCCAGTGGGAACATGCCCAGTGTGTCCAACCTTTACTCATAGGACGGGGTCCGTAGAGATTTTCAAAATCACGAGCCGTCTGGATAGTACAGATGGAGGGAAGTTGGTCCTTCTTGCAAAAGGAACACGAACGAGAGGGGCATGGATTGAAGTGATGTTTGAATGAAGCAAGGGTGATTGGCAAACCTCTTGTTTTCACTCATTGAGTATGGAAATGTAGTGGAGCGAGGTTCCATGGAGGCATTCAATGGATGGTCCTTTAGATAGAGATTGTGTGCAGGAGTATGGGAAGGTGGGAAGGCAGGAGGTTGGAATGAGATAAAAGAACAGACGCAGGCACAATGGGCTGAATGGCCTCATTCTGTGCCAGAACAATCCTGTGATTCTGTGACATGTA